TCATTACAGTGTTAGAGCTTTCATAAGATAGTTCTCAATAGAAAATGAATTATATTTTATCAAATTCTCTTTTAGTTCTTGAATGATATCTCTTTATAAACATTTAAAATTTTTGCAACTCTGCATGCTAAAATGAAAATCTGCATGTCTAGAGTAGTTCCAATAAAAAATACATACTAGATGACTTTGTCATTAAAAAGACATAAAACCCAGAATTATCATAAAGTGACATTTCCATGTTTTTTACCATGAAAAAAGTTGGTGATGTCAATCTATTGACTATTTTAGGATTTCTAGTCAGGTACTAAGGAAACTAGGTAGTAGGAAATCCGTAGCTCCACATGTGTCTTTCAAATCACTGAGATCACCTCAGTAACATCCCTCACTGGCAGAGAGAATGGAAGGGAGTGGAGATGATCTGGGAAAGAGCTTGCAGGTGTGGAAGTGACACCGTGGCCCACGTCTTGGCTGACTTTCTGACCCAGCATTTTCTCAATGCTGGTAAACATGGACAGATTGCATGGAAACCATGTGGGCTGTTTTCTTAGAGCATATCAAATGGAGAGTTTTACCTATGGATTAAGGGTTACATTTAAAGAATGGGGCCTTTTCCCTATAATATTTAACAGACTTGTTTTTCATTATGCAATAAGATATTAAAACTTAAAGCAATTTTGTCCTGCACCCAGCCTCTTGTTCCCTGTAAGAATTTGAGCTCAGTAGGAGTCTTTTGGATTCTCCTGCTTTCTTCAGTGGAAGCATGTGGGAAGATTCTGTACACTCTCTGTGGAGTTATTTATGTAATAGATTGTTCTGTGCAACTCACGGAACACCACAAAACAAAAACCTCAGCCGCAGACGCCAGCTTTCTGACAATGCCAATACCTGACCTAAGGGGTCAGTCACACCATAAACTTCGGATTATAAGGGTGAAAACTGTGGGGTGTAAATCAGGATCATCCCAACAGAGGAGTCGGAGATAAGAAAAAGGAAAGGAGAAAGAAAAGAGGGAGAAAGCTGGTGCAAGATGCATCCGAGCAGGATTATTTTGCATTCTCAGAGCTATCCAAGTATAATTGTGGAGGAAACTGAAAAGCAACCTTTAAATGTAGCTGGTAGAAAAACATAGTTTTTGAAGGGAGTTGCCTCCCTGCTCTGAACTGGAGAGTCTTGACAGCAAATGCTTGCTGGGGATCATGATTTAATAATTACAATTGAAAGGGTTGGTTAAGAATGACTGACTGGCATCACGAAACAAATGAAAGATGACGAGGGTGGATTTTGAGCTCCAAATCTCCCATGCCAGGGAAGCGTTCGACCCTGTCTCTGCCTGGGTGTGCCTGGGGCCTCCTCTGTTTGAGCCGTCATATTTCTAGCCATTCACCTATCATCTTCTGCATTTCATTGTTACCCTGTACTGATTCAAGACGGAGCCACAGTGGATTCTTTTATAAACGTGTTGTTTTTAACTGTTGCCGAGAAGCCTGTCCCTCTGTAACAGCCTACGATAGACAGGCTCCCTTTTAACTGTATTTCCCCAGCTGAAGTGATATCTGTTACTAATTTGCTTCTGCACAAATGTGTGTCAGATAAAACCTTACAGAAGGGTCGGTCTTCTTGCTCAGCTGTACACCACAATGGGAGTGTGGATTATATAAAACATTCTGACATTTTGGCAGAAAGACAACAACTTGTAAAATGGGGCGGACAGGGTGGGGGGAGTGGAAATGAACCACTCTCTATAAATCATTGATTCTGTGTGATCCCATTAGATAATCCTTAGTTTTCATGTCCACTCTAACAGATTAAACTTGAGATAAACTTGAGATGCTGCTGGGAGGCAGCATCTATAGAACATATATACTTTCAGGGGAATCCTTGGGTACGATTTTGTCTGTATACATGACTTACAAAGATTCATAAATACAGTAAGAAAATGTAATAAGACATACATTAAAGTTGTTTAAACATCAGACAGAAGGAAAATAGAATAAATAATCAACGGGCCAAAGAGTGAAGTCAGTACAAAATATATCCATGAAGTCATAAATATTTGCAAGTAATGACCGCAAAGTAGTCTCTGAGCTTTCTAGTAGCCCCCATAAAGAAGCAACCATTGCAATAGTTCGGTCATTCCAGATTTATAATCCTGGACATGACTAGTTAGAGGAATATACAGAATTTTATTCAGTGAACCTTCAAATATAACTGTTTCATGTTCAAATGTGTATACCCAATTCTAGGCATACTTTATCCCTGGCTAAAGAGGGAAAACTTAAACATTTATTGCATGAAAAGGTTAATACACATCCTAGGTCAAAATCTGGCAATAATGAGATAATAGCCTCCTAATATCTCCTTGAAATTCTTTAGCAGAATTCACTGTTTATGGTCACCTTATGGTCAATTCACCTATCTATGGTCATAACCAATTCAGAATGGTTCCCATCTAGACCCTTGCAGACCTTCTTTACTGGTTTGTTAAACATGTTTGTTTGTACTCAGTATTATGCAAAGAATCCAGAATTATTTTATTGGTATTTTATAAGTAACTGCTTGAGGATGGAAGTCCCCAAATCTTGTTATTCCAATTATAAATGTTAGTGCATTTTAATATATTATTACATATTACAATATCTATTTGGCAGATCCTTATTTTTAAAGTTTATTCTTCATAAGCATAAGATGGGAAGGTGCAAAGAAAACAGTGCAACACCATTTATAGTATGTGTATGTGCACTTATCTCTTAGAGTCATGAATTCATAATCTCATTCACATGTAAAACGTATATGGTTAAAATATGAATAACAGCGTGGAAGAGAAGGAAACAGGTCAGAAATACTGAGAAGGAAAAGAAAACAAATTTTAAAAATGTATTGTTCAAGCCATTTAGAGTAATATTTTGTTTCTGATTCTTTATCAAAAGCACAAAGCAGTTGCTGGATATGAGCATCATTGTATGTGCCTCTTTATTTGCAATAATTTTATTTTGGCATTTCGAATTGAATCACCCATTAAGATATTAGTTTAGTTGCTGAATGTATTAAATCATTTGAAACAAATCATGTAAGGGGATAGACATGCTTCTGAAGAAATCTGTTCTGAGTAAGACAAGTGTACTTCATTTTAACAAGGCATTCACAAGTCCATTGCCGGATTCCAAAACATTTCCACTGTGTTGCATT